TGCCATAGACGAAACTTGCTGTAGTTCCATTCATTGTAGGCGTCTCGTTCGGCTTTAGGGTTTCTGATTCGTTCAATTGTGTGGACCTTCCACCCGGCGGCCTGAAGACCTTCGCGGTGGTAGTCGCTGATTGTGTTGTCGACGAGTATCACCAAGTCTCGGGTTGACCCGGACATCCGAATGCTTTGAGCTGCTGCAATTGCTCCACATACGTATACATGAGCCGAGTGTAGAATTGTTGCATACGCTTCTCGTTTCGGATTCCCGGAGTATCTATAATCTGTTACAAACACCAAATTAGTTCATCAATTGTAAATTAGCATGAAGATTATGAAATCACCACAAACTTTTTCATTCGTTACATTCACGTCCCTACGAATTCTAATTGTACGTTTTCGGTCCTTTAACCTTTTAAGGCTATTTTGGATGATAAATAGCATTTATGTCTTTTGCACGTGTCAGCTTTGGTGACGACAGTACAACCGTTTAAGTCTGATACACATCAAACACAGTACAACTGATTTAAGAATTTATTAAGAACTAACCTTTAGCCATGAGAGGGACCGAAAGTTCACAAGACCCAACCGGAAGCCGGACTTTATCCCTCAACAAATTAAGATCCGGTTCATATAACCAAACATTCCCCCTACGCATCACAAGCTCTTTACACATAAAAAGATTTGGAATCGGGAAACAATCGGTCACCAAAAGCACTCTAACCGGATGAACCCCTCTAGATTTAGCAACGAATCTTGCAACCGCAAGTTGCAAATGCAAACGAGCCACGTCTCTTGACCAATCCCGTGTCTTCACACACGGAAGCTTTACAGCTATGAAATCAATTCTTGGTTTTCTTGGAGCTTCAATCAAGGGTAATTTAGGGCATATGGGAACTTTATATTCTTCTTCTTCATCGATCCACTCGGGATATAGATCTTCCCAAGTTATGTTTTTAGCAGGATTGAGGCTGAGGGTAATGTGCTCGGGTGATGGGAGTAATTCCTTCCATTGATCGGTTTCATTCTCGTTGAAGTTTAATAGACCGATTCCCTTGTACTCATTTGCATCGGAAAGCGTCCTAATTACCCCGGAAATGTGATTCCAGTTGACTTTTAAATGGGATAGATAGCGTTCATCGTCTGAGAAAGATTTCTCATTTCCCCGTCTTTCTACCAAACTCACCCTGTGTGCACATGATGTAAGAAATTATTTACTCTGTGTACTGTGTACTGTGTACTGTGTACTGTGTACTGTGTACTGTGTACTGTGTACTGTGTACTGAGGGTAGGATATATAACGTACCGGGATCCGGAATGGGAAGGGCGTTCTGTGTTATATACAGCTGGCGAGTGAAGGAGCGTAAAAAGTGCTCCTAATATTATAATAACCAAAACAAGCTTTAAAGTAGGAAATTTGCAGCTTGCATTTCTGTCTTGGTTGGGACTAAGATATGGTTTTTCACCATCTTTAAAGCTTCTATTTCCAAAAGACCTTCTTTTGCTTGTATCTTCACTGAAACATAAAAAAACTATTAATATCTTATAAAATAATGGTATAACTTTTTGAATAAAACAATTTAAGAGGTCGTATCCATATGCATAATGCATCACATGTATATACGTTCTGGAAGACTTTCAGACTGTATGAACTATTTTATTTTATAGCTAAATTGGTTAATTTTATGGGCAGATTACAAAAAAGCTGGTTTATTTTTTTGTTTTCTCTATTTCAGCTATGGTTGACCTATAAAAACTGGTTACTATGTTTGATTTTGCTTACATGGACAATTTTTAAAGAGTTGGCATCTGATGTGGGAATGGAAATGTGAAAGTGTAGTTCTTAAGTGCATCCATTAGTATAACACATGCTTATGTGGACATTTCCCTAGCCACATCAGATGCCACATTAAAAAAAAATCCCATGTAAGCAAATCAAACCTCGCAACTGATTTTGTAGGTCGATAATGGCTAAAATGGGAAGAAAAAAAATGCCAATGGCTTTTATGCAAAAAATAAATAAATCATAATGGCTTTTTAGGTAATAGAACTGATAACATAGTGGCTTTTGTGTAATTTTCCCCAATTTTACCTATTTGACCAATTAGAGATAATTAATAACCCCAAAGTGACCCCCTTTTTCTATGATGACTTCACTAACATCACAGATCTTCTAGACTTCTACCTCTACTATAAAATGGGAAATGAAAATATGACATAATCTTCAATTAAATTTAAAGAAATCCTTGTACATGGAGAAATTTATCCAAGTGAGAATATTTATGAAGACCCTATTCATACAAACTTAATGCTTTAAAATATTCATACTTCATTTCTCTTATAACATATATAATAAAAATATTCAAGGGATAGTCATAAGTTTTTTCAAACATCTTATAGATTCATGACTATGAAACACCAAACACAACATAAACTATATTTGATATTAAATTTTCAAGGGTAATATAATCCATAAGAGAGGTCTCAGGTTCAAACCCTGGCATCCCCTTGTGATTTACCTCCTCCATGTTGTCAATTGGGGGGAGGGGGGGGGGGGGGGGGGGGTATACACCTTTTTTCTATGATGGGGGCAGAAAGTGTGATGAAAGTTTTGGATTTTAAAACTGAAGAGTCAAATCAACTACAGATCTAAAATAAGGGATTAGGTAGTTTTGGTAAAAGAAGAGAGGTAATTAAATCCTTTTGGTGTTTGTTTTAGCAGCCATAGCTATCTACTTATAGGCTACATGTAGAAATAAATGAAAATCACAATTGAACTATGCAACAACAACTACAAATACCAAACAATTCAAAAGGATAATAAGATCTACAAGAATATGGGACCACTTTTTCCTGATTATGGATAGAAAATTTGGTAACTTGTAACAACCGTTTTGATAACTAGCAATTTCTGAATGTGACATTGATATGACAAATCTAATCACCAACTTCTATTCTGTCATTCTATGTACCCAATATAACAATCAATGTCAATATCAACCTTTGAAATCTAGAATTTCACATCAACTTTAAAGTTGAGAGATTAACAAATCAAAAGACAGTGTATAACTATTCTTAGGTTTTGGAATAGATGGTCAAATAGTCAAACTTTATCTTACATGCTGATACCAAAATACACATTAACTAGATTAGATAAGATAATAGTTTCTTTGATCCTGAAATCAGTAGAGTTTTTTTTCTTAAAAGTTCATTAGATAAAAGTCGCATTTTCAACTGCAATTGAGTGGACTTCATAGAGAAAGAGGTCTCTGAATCTAAACGATAAAAGCTTAAATTCCAATTCCATTTTGACCCAAATGAAATTAGTTCATAAAAATCAACTTTTTAGGGCATCATTTTGTCAAATCTAACCAAATAAAACCTCAAACAAACAAATACCAATGCAAGGACACAAATAATTCTTCTAACAAGCATTTTCACAAACACCTGGTTTGCATATATTATCAACTCATTTTAAAGTTAAAAGAGAGGAAGGATCTACTTGGCAACGGAGAGCCGATGTCTAGGCTCAATTGGAGTAGGCGAAGCACCGAGGAGTCCTCTCATACTTGTCAAATCAATTTCAGTAGGGCTGCATCTGTGATCTGCGGAAAATGAAAATTAGGAGCAGACGAACATAACTGTTGACTCCCAAAAATAATTCTATTGCATGTGATTCCAACTTACGAATTCGGATCTTGAATACAAGAGAATATCAAAGCAACGTTGAGTTTTGCATATGGTTTTGGTGACTGGTGAGGAAAAGAACATTAATGGAGTCTGCTTCAGCGTTAAAGGTTTTATTACAGAGGGTCAGAGCTCGTACAGCCGCAGTCAAATTTATGCTCAAATTATGCAAATTTCTCTAAGCTATTGACATACTTCATTAATGGCCCTTGAACTGTGAGCTTGGCTAGTTGGGCCCTTATACTTTACAATAGCACCAAAAATGGTCAAATTGATTGAGAAAATGACGACGTGTCAAATATGTGATGAAAATCAATTGTTATTGTCTTGAATTATTTTCGATTTAATATAAATTTATTACTATAGTTATTATTGTTAATTTTAAAATCTATCTATTTGGATATTTTGATTTACTAAAAATGATTTTAAGACATTTTTTAGTTTGTATATGAATCTGTATGTAATATTTTATTTAATATAACTTTTTTTAGTATAGAATAAAGATTTTTTTGCTACATGTTACATTCTTATTTATTTTGCTACATATAATTTTGTGTTTATTTTAAATTAATGTTTATTCCACATGTCATTTTATTGTTTTTCATTTTATTAAATTGTAGATACTATTTAAATTCATATCAATTTCATTAATGAACTTTCCTTATAATTTCAAAATTATTAAATTAAAGATTCATTAATTTTCTTTATTTATTTATCTAAAGTATTTGTTTAAATTTAAAAAAGAAAACAACACTTTAATTTTTATAATTCAATATTTTTTTACTTTTGTTTATAAATTCATACTTCTTAAATGTTTAAAATTTTGTATTTAATTTTTTTTTAAATAAACCCATATAATATATGGGTTTTACACCTAATATAATAATTAATCAAAAACTTCAATGTAATTAAAGAAACATTTTAATTTTAATGCACGTCCTTTCAACTTGTAATACAATATATTTAATTTTACAATTTTGAATATGATGTTAAATATAATAACTTAGAAAATTTGAAATATACTAATACATGTGCAGAAGTTTTTTTTTTATTTTATTTAACTAATAGTGGTGAATACGGAATTTAAATCGAAATGTTAAAATAAACTTAAATTGTCCTGAACTCTTTATAAAATCAGTTTTAAAGTTATTGTAACGATAATTTTTTTAGATAATCTATAAAAAGCTAACAATAAAAAAGATATTTACAAAAATCTAAAACATTTAAAAATTCATATTTAGAATATTCATTTTGATATAATTTTTTTTACAAAAAATAAAGTAAAAGGTTAAAGATGAATCTTAGCACCATTTTTATGGACAAAAAAAAAATAGTGTATTGTTAAAATCTGATGATAATCGGTTTGAGAGAGCTCGCTCTTTGGTTCACCTCAACACAGAAAATGATCATCAAATTGATGGAAACAATTGCTTCATTCCTAAGTTAACTGACAGTCACCGGAGCAATCGAGCCGATCACCGGAACTTTTTCCCTCGAGATAACCCCACAAGATCTCCGAAAGCCCCGTATGTTTCGAGCCTACCGAAACTTTCTCCCCCGAGATAATAACCCCACAAGATATCCCAAACCCCTCATCATCCCCAACCGCCTAGGCTCGCGATCATATTCCAAACTCCAAAAGATTTCTTCACAAATCTCACTTCCTTCGAGAGAATTTCAGCTTGAAATTACGTCCACAAATCTTTCGAAGTCTTCGTGCAGCATTACATTAGATAATCGGTTTATTCATCTTGTAAGTTAAAGCTTCTCTAGGGTTCTATGTGACACACATTTAGTTTTTAGTGAATTTGAATATGTATCTGCTTTTGTGTGTTCATGATGATCACTTAATCGTACTTGTTCGGGAAATGTTGGATTTTTCGTCCATGGTCTGGAATATCCGTTGAATCAACTTTATCTTTGGGTTGTGAAAAAGGTTTATCGGAATTTGTCTCTTTATCTCACTTCAATTTCTGATTCCCTTTTTTGTAAAAGGTTATACTGTTTTCCTGTGTTTATTTACATATTGATGGAACTTGTTTTGACATTCTTTTGATCCAGTGCCCGTTATCCGCAATTGTAAAGGAAGTGTTATCATCGTATGTTTCTGATGGGATGGAAAAGAATAGTTATTGTTTTATCATTCTCTCTGATGGTGATGGAGTCCTCAAGCAGAATGTTACCATTGTCATCAAGCAACATTGGTGCTGAAACTTCCTTTCTATACAAGTGGACAATCTTCAGTGCAAGCTTCTGTGTACTCATTGCTCTTATCCTCTCAATGTGTCTAATGTTTGAGCACTTATCTGCATACAATCAACCTGAGGTATTTCTGTTATGTACCATCTTCATACATCATAATTCTTGATTCCCTGTTAAATTTGAATACAATTATCATCTCAAATTACTTGTATTTCAGGAGCAGAAGTTTCTAATTGGGCTTATCCTAATGGTCCCTGTTTATGCATTGGTATCGGTATAACATCTGTTCTTTATTTCTTTTCTGATACTTTTCTATATTCTTTACAATTATCTAATTTTCACTTTTTTTGTAATGTGAACAGCTTTTGTCACTGTTGGATTCAGATGCTGCATTCAACTATGAAGTAGTCAGGGATTGCTATGAAGCTTTTGCATTATATTGCTTTGAGAGATATCTCATAGCCTGCTTAGGTATGCTCTTTTCTAGATTTAACTCTTATAATTTCAGTTTCCTGTGTCCATGTTCATATTTTTTGACAAATATTATGTTGATTGAAGGTGGAGAGGATAATACTATTAAATTCATGGAAAGTAAAAGCCTAATCACCTCAAGCATCCCACTTATAGAAGAATCATATACTTATGGAATTGTGGAACATCCTTTTCCACTGAATTACATGTTGAGGGAGTGGTATCTTGGCTCTGATTTCTACCAAGCTGTAAAAATTGGGATTGTTCAATACGTATGATTTTTCTTAATTCTTATTTACAATTAGGTTTTATAATTCTAGTGTGGTTTACTCCTTATTCCTTATCTAATCTCATGAAAATTCTTGCTTCCAGATGATCCTGAAGCCCATATGTGCACTTCTAGCAATATTTTTTCAGTTTCTTGGAGTTTATGGTGAAGGAAAATTTGAATGGGGATACGCGTAAGTCCCTGTTTCCTTTCTTTTTTCTCCATTAAATGTTTTCTGGTTAAACAAGGGCAAATTTGTAAAATGTGAATACAAGTTGTTATATTTGTTTGCAGCTATCCATACTTGGCACTAGTCCTTAACTTCAGCCAAAGTTGGGCCTTGTATTGCCTCATACAGTTCTATTCAGTAATCAAAGATAAGTTAGCACCAATTAAACCTTTAGCCAAGTTTCTGACTTTTAAGTCAATAGTATTCTTAACATGGTGGCAAGGTGTTGCTGTTGCCTTTCTTTTTTCCATGGGTGCCCTTCAAGGTTCTTTAGCTCAAGAACTAAAAACCCGCATTCAAGATTACATCATCTGTATCGAGGCAAGTTTTGGGCTTTATTTCTTTTTATATATATAAAACCTAATTTAGGGTTTAGGGTTTAGGGTTTTTGAACATCTGTATGTTTACATACAGATGGGTGTTGCTGCAGTGGTGCATCTATATGTATTTCCAGCAGCACCTTACAAACGAGGTGAAAGATGCGTACGCAATGTTGCTGTGATGGAGGACTATGCATCTTTAGGTTCGGAACCTGCTCCGGATGAGGTTCGGGATTGTGAGAGAACCACAAAATTACGGTTTAGTCCTCATGGTGAAATCGAAAAGCGTATGAAGTTACATCAAAGTGTTCGTGATGTGGTTGTTGGAAGCGGTGAAATCGTAAGTTCCCATAACTTTTAACCTAGGGTTCCAGTAGCAGAGTCAGAGTCAGACTGTTGTGTACCTGATTTACATCTCACATCCTGACAGTGTTTTGTTGTGACTTAACATTTTTTATTATTTTTGTTGAATATAGATGGTTGATGATATGAAGTTTACGGTGTCGCATGTGGTGGAGCCGGTTGAAAGGGGAATAGCGAAAATAAATAAAACTTTTCATGAGATATCAAAGAATGTGAAACGACATGAGAAGAGAATAAAGAGCTCTAAAGATGATATTCATGTTATCCCTTTAAATTCATGGAGTAAGGAATTTTCTGAAGGGGATGATGATGGAGTAGGAGGGAGTTTTAGTGACAGTAGTGTCTTTGAAGGGAGGAGGCCACGTCAGCAATCGAAAGTCTCTTCTCAGTCTAACATGTTTTCTAAACCTTTTTGACAAAAAAAAAAAAAAAGTCAAATTACATATTTGGATATCATCTATACAGCTGGTAAGTTTATGTTTACTTGTACACATCATTTGTAACACATAACATGATGTGACATGACAATATTGGACTGAGACTGGTGTTTGTGTTTTTTGCAGGGTGATTAAGATACTTGATTCTGTTACCACTGTAAAAAAAATGTGGGTGATACTAAAAAAGGAGGTTATCAGCTAACAATAGAGGCAGTAGCTAATGATGTATTATGTATATATGTTTACGTTATATAATCCTCTAATGGATAGGGATTTATCCTTGAGGAAAAACTGAAAATATGATGCAGGATATTTGAAAAGTTCTTTTTTGGAATAAAGGATGAAATGTTGATAGTTGAGTTGTGGAGTGGATGGTTCTAACTAAATATACACAAAATTGAATGAATGTTTGTGTTGACTCGCTATAGAAATTAACATGTGTAGGTGATTTTAGTGTCATCAATACATTTAGTGCAGTCATGATTCTATTTGATACAAGTTGAGTTCTATTTGGTTATATTATGAGGAGATGTTGAGTGTACACTCAGATAACTAATGCGGACTCGGGAATGTGGGGTCCACGGACAAACGCCTCTGGTGGGTTCAAAGGGCGAGATCTAGGGGCATTGCCTATAGCGGGTCGAAGGGTAGAGCCCTTGGCGGGCCAGATCCTTAATGAAAAAATTGACCCGGAGAAAATTGCCCACAAATATCAACTGTCACAACCGTTGGAAATAGTTGTTACTTTTCCCACCAAATTAACCGAATTAAACTGCCATCTTCTTTATAAATTGATGGGAATAGTTGTACTACTGAAACTTTAGTACTACATTTGATATTAATGAATATATACTAACAGGGGAAGAGGTTGATGATGGAGGTTGTTTGGATGACTACGCTTCATTTGGAACTAATGTAATGCTCTGGTCTTTGGTTCTAAGGAGTTTCGTCAAAACACTATTTTGGGAAGAATGAAAAAAAAAAGTTTTATTTTCTTTTAACCGGATCGGGCAATGAATCAAAGTAAGTTGCATGTCAATCAGGTTGTTTAGCTTCTTGCTAGTTTATCTTTATAAAATTAGTCAGTTCTAAAAAAGAAAAAAATTAAAGGAAGATTTGACACACTTGCTAGACTTTTTCACTTTGTTGATAACAATGGCTTTGAATGCCAGACTTTTTCACTCACTTTGTTGATAACAATGGATATGAATGCTAGACTTTTTCACTTTGTTGATAACAATGGCTTTGAAAGGTCAAGAATCAACATCTTCAAAGTATTAACATTCAATTCTTTGTCAATTGTTAAGTAGGGTCGAATGAACAAAGTCAAAAAGATATTAAAAAAACATACCATTAAATGAATAGATTAAGCGCATTATTAGTTAAATAATTCCAAAGAAACATACCTTGATAAATAATCAATTGTAGCAATGCATATATAAAAAAATATCATACTAGCTCTATTTGTGGTTGAATGCATAAATGCAAAACCAAATCATAAAAAAATTGATTTTGTCGTATCATTGAAGTTGTAAATATTTTGTTCTACAAATGTATTATGATAATTGTAATATTTTTAATCTAAAATTGTTTCTAAATTATAAATATATATTTGCTTTAGAGGTGTATATGATTCAATTTTATGTGTTTTTTTTTATTAAAAACTAATGATACTAGGACTAGGCAAAAGTGAAAATTTGAAAAATTGAATTAAATTACAGAAAAATAAAAAATTTAAAGCATCTATAATGCATAATTTAATAGAATAACTGAATGAGATGACATACCGAATCGATATTCAATGATTAAACTTACCATTGTGGAATGTCATGTTGACATTCAATGAATATGGAGTTCAGTAATCATTGAACTCTTCAATAGGGAAAAAGAACATTTTAGGAAGTGTTTGAGATTGTTTTTAAAAACAACTTATTGACTTATTATTTTTTGCAAAGACAATAGTAAAAAAAATGTTTGGCAATATCAAAATGACTTTTTCATTAGTTTTAAAAAGTCTTCAAAAACAAGTTTTGAAAAGCATGTAAAATTTAACTTTTTGAAACTCTTTTTAGCTTTTCACCTATAATACCTTCAAAAGTAGATTTTAGCCGAACACTTTTTAACTTATTAACTTATTGATATCATAAAAGTTAATCTAAACATTTTTTTTAAAACTTATTTTATCACCACCATAAGTCAATTAACATTTTTTTTACCAAAAACACTTTTGAAATTCAAAAAACAATTCCAAACACCCCTGTAATTATGTCATTCGGAGTACCTACCACTAACCACTAATATGGTGGTGTCATCTCATCACTAAACACAACCACTAAAGGTTTGTATATACACTACTATATTCCTCTTTTTCTTTTTTTTGATTATTTAAATAAAAAATATGTACCTTTTAATTACTTAAAATCAAGGTTCTAAAAACCTCGTCATGACGTGTCATGGCTCCAAAGCTTATACTTGCCGCCACACTTTAACAAAATGTTGTCACGCATAGTAGAATATATATATATATATATATATATATATATATATATATATATATATATATATATATATATATATATATATATATATAACTATTGATTATATACAAAACTTTAGTTACACTTTTACAAATGACAAGGCTTGTCATGACTCATAAAAGATTAAGGTTTGACATTGTCGTCAAAATCGCGTCTAACATTATTTAGAACATTGCTTAAAATATAGAGAGAGGTAGAGAAATATATATATATATATATATATATATATATATATATATATATATATATATATATAGAGAGAGAGAGAGAGAGAGAGAGAGAAGATAATTGGTTGTGGTTGCTCGTGCTCCCCACCACAAATGACCACAAAAACTTGCAACCAATAGCCACCACTAAACACCCAGGATGGTGTTCACATTGTGGTTGGGTGCCATGTAGACATCAGAGCCATCTGTTGAGGGTATTTCGGATGGTCTTATTAAAAAATACGTTCCGTTGAATTTTGTAAAGTTGAATGTATCATAGAAATTTTTTGGTAGAGTTGTATAAAAAATAGAAAATTTGACAATCAATTAAATTCTTGATACAAATCACAAATGTCTTCATTTGTGGAGTTATTTTTGGTGTTTTACCGACTCAAGATAATCTACAAACAAGTCGTGTCGGGTCAATGCTCATTAGGGAGTAGCAATAACAAGTATATTCTCATAAATGTACATTAAACATCCATGACTTTGATATGTACATTAAACAAGCTACTTAATCCATGCAATGCCTTGGTGAAAAAGTTGGGTACTTTATTTAAGAGAGACAAAAAATACATTGCTATTTCTATTAACCGAAATAAAATTCACTAGATAAATCCAATTAAAAAAAACTAACATTAACATATAACTAGTGATTACTACATAAATCCAATTTTAAAAAAAAAAAAAACGAATTCATAAAATGTATAAGATCTATTGATATGGGCACAAACCAAGCATTGATTCCATACCCGCCAATTGATGATGAAGGAACCTATAAACCGATTCGGTTGTTGTGGCAGCTATTCTCACAACCACACCCGTCCCCTGCAACAAATGGCAACCTACTTTCATTTATTTATTCTTATTAAAGCATTGTACTTTAAAAGCTTTTAGCATTATACTCTTTCAAATGTTTGTTATTACGACATTATATTATTATACATTAATAAATTCAAAATCCAAATGTAGCTAGCATAAAATTGCTTTGTATTTGGAAGATATTGCTATAATTAAGTTAAAAAAAGGAAACAATATAAAGGAGAAAATGAAAAATACCTTTGGACCAAAGGGGCTACAAGAAGCAATAAGTGAAGGCTTTGTATATCGATCACTATTACTATTACATGCTTTAGAGACTGAGATTCCTCCAATAGATGGAGCGCGTAATTGCTCTGACATCATCTTTTTCACATCTTCTTGAATTTGGTTTTGTATTTTCTTCAATTTAGGCCTAAATTACAATAATAACCCAACCCAAAACATGATTTTTTTTTTTGAAATTTCATATTAGTACAAAGAAAGAAAAAAACACACAAGAATACTTCAAAAAGATAATCCTACCCTAGCAAAATAACCATTGCAATTACTTGGTAATCCTGCATTCGTTCACCAATACTTGAAACACTTGTGTTCTCAAGTAGTACCTAAATACAATCAAACAAATGGAGATATACTCATTGTAATGCTTCTTTTTTCATATGTGTTTTAACTAGTATAAAACAAATAACTTGGTTTAAATATGTGATTAGTTTATGTCAAAGACAAAGTATTGTAGATGTTTTGGAATCCTATGGCCTAAAAGAAAGAAAGAAAGAAAGATACCGTATCAAGAAACATGGGCTTTGTATCAAGATATATGTGATTGGTGCTTTTATAAAGCCCAAAATCCCATTTTTCTCCACTTTCATGACGCCCACTAGTGATCCAATCAACAATCAGTAAACTTGAGTCTCCAACCATTCTAAAGATTTGCTTTTGGGAGTATCTTGCTGTAGAAAAACATGTCACTGGATCTGGAATGACAACCAAAAGGGCATCACTCCCTATTCTTGCCTACTACATTCAAAAGTTTAGCATCATTAAAAAGTATATATATGTAATAAAATTAATATTCCATTCTACATTCTAAATTTTAATCTGGGTGATGAGATTGATGAGAATCACAACTCTAATATCATTAAGTGTTTTTAGACTTTAGTGTCGAGTACATATGTTAACTAGCCATCTTTTTATGTAATAAATTTAAATTTGAAATGAAGCTAATGAAATAAACAGCACTTAATGCAAAAAAGCAAAAAACAGCACAACTTATTACCTCCATCATTTGCTCAGAGCACTTCAAGGCCACTGATTTGTACACCTATACGACCATGTGAAACTTCTGTTATTTTAATGAAAACATTCAGCAAAGATTTTAATTCCCTCCATCTTTTAGTATTTTGGAACAATCAAGAAGACAAGAAGGTATGTACCCTAGATGCAGCAAAGTATATCCCAATAACAGAATTTAATGTCTTTTGTGTTGGTGTTAAAGTTAGGCCCTAATTATGTATACTATGCACATGAAATGACATGAAAATATGAAATGAAGCTAGATAATTGGTTGAAAATGTCACTATTTCGATAACTCGTGAGCACAAATTTGCTATAATTGGGAACACAGAAATTATTTTAAGAATTGAGGCATCCATAAAGGAAATTTTGCAGTTTTTACAGGAGAGAGCATATGAAGCATAAAAACAAACACATGGTATGCAATCAGATAGCTGTGATGTGAAGGAGACTGACCTTGGTAGATGCCTGAGTTGTCAAAACGGCAGTGCAACCATCTTCTACGGTAAGGTCAACCGAAATGCAATCACCCTAAATCGGAAAGAAAGAAAGAAAGAGAGAAGCATGCGTTATATGAAAGATCAATCCTAAACAATACAAAACCATCTGTTTCACTCAAACCTTATCATAGCTTAATCGAAATGCTTACAGAAACAATGCCACCGCCATAAGTGAGAGTGTAGATCCAAACGGCATCAGTTTCAGAACGCCCTGCCTGCAATACATATCAAATTTGAAATTTTTTCTCATGGCTCATAAAGCAGAGAATAATTTGATAGGGATTTGTTTATACCTTCGTCGGAATGATGAACTTGAGAGGATACTTGGAGAAGCATCGGGTTACGGTGGACTTGCCTCCTACTCTCCCCACCACTAACTTCCCGGTTTCCATATTTACCCTCAATTCTGCCCTCATAATTGCCTCTTAATATCATATGATCATTACAAAATTACACAAATGGTCCT